AACCCTAAACCGAAACCCGAAACCCTAAACCCTAAACCCCAAACCCCAAACCCTAAACCCTAAACCCCAAAACTATCCCAAAACTCTTGGGTCTGAGAGTTCCTTGGGGTCCCTTGCTGGGGTTGGGGCACTTCCACGTTCGCATAGGGTTGGGGACGTAGGTTGCTTAGGGTTTAGGGTTTCGGGTTTAGGGTTTGGGTTTAGGGTTTAGGGTGTAATCAGGGTAATTAGGGTGCATTAGGTGTATGGCTTGACTTTGTGGTTCAGGGGTGTAGACCTCAATGTTGGCGCTTTTTTTTGCCAGCCTAGTGTAAATATGCACTGCATGGACAACAGTTGCAGAGGCCTCAACAACGGCTCAGTATAGAGGGTTTAGGGTTTAGGGTTTAGGGTTTGATTTAGGGTTTAGGGCCACCAAACAGTTGAGCTGCAAGCTCCTGCGGGGATTCCTGATGACCTCTTGAACCCTAAGCCAAGGAATGCCTAAACCCTAAACCCTAAACCCTAAACCCTAAACCCTAAACCCTAAAGCCTAAACCCTAAACCCTAAACCCTAAACCCTAAACCCTAAACCCTAAACCCTAAACCCTAAGCCCCAAACCCTAAACCCCGAAACCCTAAACTCTAAGCCAAGGAAAGCGTACGACTCCATGATGGCCCACTTCGCCAGCTTCGACTCAGGCAGCGGGTAGAGCCTCCAGAATTCGCCTACAAAGACCTTTAGGGTTAGGGTTTGGGGTTTAGGGATTAGGGTTTAGGGCCAGCCCTGAAACAGTTTGTGTTCCCCCTAAACTCTACATGGGACCCTTTTTTTACCAACAGTTTTCAGGGTTATACCTGCTGAAAAGCGGGTACTTGCTACTGATCTGTAGGTAAAATAGGCTCCCAAGTACACCTTGAGGCTGTTAGTTGGCTGTGAGGTTTGTGAGCAAACTTGCAGAGGCTCTTAGAGGGTTCGAGCCCGCAAAATTCCCGCCATTCTCCTCAACCCAAGAGCTAATACCCTGAGCCTTATACCCCTAAACCCCCAAAGCCTCACAAGCAATGCCGAAGCTGCCCGAGGGGGTCCTAAGCACAAAAGCCTAGACCCCACGAATTTCAGTAAGGAATATACCTCTTGGATTTGAGACTGGGGTTTAGGTTTAAGGGTAAATTGCAAGGATCACAAGGATCCCTAAGCCCGAATCCATACACGCCTTGGGGCCTAAGAGGTCCTAAACCCTGATGAACACCTCCCCAACCCTACCTGCAAGCCCTTGTTGACTTTGCAAAAATTCCAACCAGGGTTAGGCAGATGAGTTCCGGGGGCGTCTTCAAGGGACATTTCTAGGGGATACGAAGTAGGGTTTAGGGTTTAGGGTTTAGGGTTTAGGCTCACTGAGGGCAAGAGGCCTTCCAAGTAAGCCTCATGACCTCCCTGCGCCAGACATGCACCAATCGCTGCTCAAGTTCAGCAGCTGCCTCCCAGCCATCGGGGACTTTTTGGGGCGGGGGGGGGGGGGGGGGGGGGGGGGGGGGGCTGGTTTAGGGTTTTAGGGTTTGGGTTTGGGTTGGGGTTTGGGGTTTGGGGTTTGGGGTTTAGGGTTTGGGTTTTTAGAGGGCTGGGTGGGAGGGGGGGGGGGGGTTGAGGGCGAAAACAGGGCTTGGGCGTGGGTGCTGAAAGTTTTCTGTTTCGAGTTTGGGTCTAAGAGTCTAGAGTTCATGCGGTTTAGGGTTTTTAGGGTTTAGCGGTTGTTGGGGTTTAGGGTTTTGGACTTTGCTCTATCCACTCTTGTTTGCTACGTTCCCTGTGAATTCCGCTGCTTTAGGCTTGAGGGAGTTCCTCCTGTAGACCCCAAGCTCGGGGATCAGGGGTTAGGGTTTAGGGTTGAGGAGTGAGGGTTTAGGGTTTAGGGTTTAGGGTTTAGGGTTCAGGGTTTAGGGGTTAAGAGTTTACCCTACACACAGCAAGGTGCGTTCCTTCATTCAAGGTGTCTTGGGCTTGTTGGGCGGGGGGGGGGGTGGCGGAGTTGCGGATCGCTTGGAGGGTTGTCTGCCAGAATTCCTCCTTGAAGGTTTGAATGTAGTTCCTGTATGGAGTAGGTTAAGGGTTTAGGGGTTAGGGTTTTTCGGGGGCTTTCGTACACTACTCTAGAAGGGTACTACATAGGAGCCTTTGGGTAAGTCTCCCAAGTCCAAACCCGAAACCCGAAACCCTGAACCCTGAACCCTGAACCCTAAACCCTAATTAAACCCTAATGGGAGAGTCTTCCCCCTCCAGCTCTGCGGGGTTCTCCTTGTTGGAGGACTCCTGCGCGGGAGCCGACGCGTCCGTCATGGCGGAGTGCCGCAAGGTCGGTGGGGTTTGGGGTTTAGGGTTTAGGGTTTAGGGCTTAGGGTTTAGGGTTTAGGGTTTAGGGTTTAGGGTTTAGGGCTTATAGGGTTTAGGTTTAGGGTTTAGGGCGTAGGGCTTCGGGTTTTTAGGGTTTAGGGTTTAGGGCACAGGGCTTAGGGTTTAGGGTTACCTATACTCTAGACCCTAAACCGCTTGCACAGGTTGGTTGCACATGTCCAGATCTGTGAAAAATGCCGTCCCTTTCTAGGACGCCGTACCCAGATTCGCCCTGTCTGATAGTTCTCCGCGAAGGGGTGGAAGGAGACTTTGGGGGGCGGGGGGGGGGGGTACCACGGGTGGGTGGGTGGTGGGTGGGTTGGGTTTGTTTCTTTTAGGGGGGATAGGGCGTGGGTGAGTGGGCCCAAGCCGGAAAAAGGACACCCTCGTTAAGCGAGACCTCTCCTTTCTCTAGGGTTCGGAGTCAAGGATCGCACCCTAAACCAAGCCCTAAACTCTAAACCCGAGCTAGGTTGTCTAGTGCCCGCCACAGGCCTTGGGCGGAGGCACTTGCACAGCACTGCAAGCCATGGCCCCAGGCCTTTCGAGTGGCTGAGGCTTGGGATGTCAGGTTTCGGGCTCAATCCCTAAACCCTAAACCCTAAACCCCACACCCTAAACCCTAAACCCTAAACCCCAAACCCCAAACCCCAAACCCCAAACCCTAAACCCTAAACCCTAAACCCCAAATCCCAAACCCTAAACCCTAAACCCCAACCCCCAAACCCTAAACTCTAAACCCTAAACCCTAAACTCTGAACCCTAAACCCTAAACCCTAAACCCTACACCCTAAACCCTAAACCCTAAACCCTAAACCTTAAACCCGAAGCCCTAAGCCCTAAACCCTAAACCGGTCAGTAGGGTCAGGGTTTAAGCTTAGGCCTTGGGGGGTCCAGGGATGGCGTGGAGGGTTCGGAGAAACCCGAGGCCGTAAATAAGGCTGAGTGGACTTGAGGGACATGTTGTGTTTAGGGTTTATGGTTTAGGGTTTAGAGTTTAGGGTACCAAACCCGAAACCCTAACCAAGGCTGAATTGAGGTTACTTTCTGGGCCCGAAATAAGGCTTAATTGAGGGTGAGTTTGAGGCTCTGAACCCTAAGCCCTAAATAAGGCTGAATTGAGGGTCCCCTTTGCCGCAGCGGGGCATCTGAACACGCACCCTAAACCCTAAAAAATCTTAAATCCCCAAAAACCCTAAAAGCCCTAAAAGCCCTAAAAACCCTAAACCCTAAACCCTAAACCCCAAACCCTAAACCCTGAACCCTAAACCCTAAACCCTAAACCTCAACCGAGGACCGGTGGGCCTTGCTGGCGCATCGCTTAGGCCAAGCGCTGGACACCGAAGTCGACGCGTTGGTGGCGCTGGAGACCCGGGGGCTTCAAGGTTTGGGGTTAGGGTTTAGGGTTTAGGGTTTAGGGTTTAGGGGTTAGGGACTAGGGTTTAGGGTTCAGGGTTTAGGGTTTACTGCTTGGGGTTTTCGGGGCTTGCTTGGAGGTTCGTGGGTAGAAATAAGTAGGGCCGTACGTAGGATGACTCTGAAAACCCTGTCTAGGGTACGTATAACCCTCCGTGAACCTCCAAGTGGGGTCTTGGGTTTAGGGTTTAGGGGTTTAGGGGTTTAGGGGTTTAGGGGTTTAGGGGTTTAGCGGTTTAGGGGTTTAGGGTTTAGGGTTATGGGTTTAGGGGCTCAGGCCAGCTTAGGGGTTTAGGGTTCAGGGTTTGCCGGTGGTCCCTAAACCCTACACCGCCGAGAATTCTCGGTTTCAGCTGTGGGGCGTAGTGTTCCCTCAGCCGTACAATCCCCCAAGACCCCAAAGCCACGAGTTCTAGCATCCTCAGCAGCCCTTTGTCCAGGGGTTCCCCCCATGGTTGGAAGATCTGCTTTCTGAAGCGGGAAGATCTCAACGTCCACAACCCTAAGCCCTGAGCCCTGAGCCCCAAACCCTTAAACCCTTAACCCCAAACCCTAAACCCTAAACCCGAAACCCTAAACCCTAAACCCTAAACCCGAAACCCTAAACCCTAAACCCGAAACCCTAAACAGACCCAGGAGCGGCTTGGGGCACCATACCGCAACATCCGAGGTGTTGACATAGGCGTCCGGGTTCCGGGCTTTTTTGAGGTAAGGTTCAGGGTATAGGGTATAGGGTTTAGGGTTTAGGGTTTGGGGTTTAGGGTTTAGGGTTTAGCTTTTAATTTGGGTTTAGGGTTTAGAGGGTTTAGAAGGTTTAGAAGGTTTAGAAGGTTTAGAAGGTTTAGAAGGTGTAGAAGGTTAGAAGGTGTAGAAGGTTTAGAAGGTTTAGAAGGTTTAGGTAGGGTTTTGGGTTGTGACGTACACTTGGGTTTGTAGGGTATACAAGCTGTATCGAGTCCCCAATTAAGGGCTCATATTAAGGTTACTAAGGGCTCATATTAAGGTTATTAAGGGCTCATATTAAGGTTATTAAGGAACCATGTATCTGCACTTAGAACTTCATTTGCGGTTGCTTACACCATTACTGGCACCCAGCAATTGTTTCGGGTAAAGGGTTGAGGTTAGAGGGCTATGTAGGCTTTATAGGTTTTACAGGGGTTACGGGTGTTGTGGGGGATAGGGGAGAAGGTTTTGGTCTTCATGGAGAGTCTTCATGGCCTTGGTGCGGTGAGGGTAGTTTAGGGTTTAGGGCTCAGGGTTTAGGGTTTAGGGGTTCTCTGCTCTCTGGCGTCGCACGTTCCAACTTTTGCGTGCATTGTGCATGACGAAGCCTGCCATTAGCAGGAAGCCCAATGGTGTCATTATCGCAACGGGCGGCGGAGGCCACTCAGCCCTTTGCCCGAAGCTCGCCGAGGATGTCCGCCGTGTGATCGATGGTTTGCACGCCACTGCGCACATCGGCAAGTTGTGCAAGAAGCACTGCTGACCTGACTTGCCTAAACCCTAAACCCTAAACCCTAAACCCTAAACCCTAAACCCTAAACCCTAAACCCTAAACCCTAAACCCTAAACCCTAAACCCTAAACCCCAAGCCCATGAGCCCTGAAGTCTTAAGAAAGCCTCAAACTCTGAAACCGCAAGACCCCCAAACTCTGAAACCTTTAAGATTTAGGGTTTAGGGTTTAACCCCAAAACCTCCAAACTGTGAAACCCGAAAGCCCCCCCCCCTCCCTAAAAACCCCAAGCCCCAAGCCCCAAACAGCAAACCCTAAACCCTAAAACCCTAAACCCTAAAACCCTAAACCCTAAACCCTAAACCCTGAACCCTGAACCCTAGACCCTAAACCCCAAACCCCAATCCCTAAACCTGCTTTCTCCGCAGGTGCGGAGACGGAGCCCATTGACTTTCTCTTCCCTTTCCTCGATTGGGAGGGGCCTGGTGACGAGGCTTAGCACAGCAACAGGGTGTAGGGGTTTGAGGTTTAGGGTTTAGTTTAGGGTTAGGGTTTAGTGGAAAGTTTAGGGTTTAGGGTTGAGGGTTGAGGGTTGAGGGTTGAGGGTTTAATGTTTTTTAGGGTTTAGTCAGGAAAGGCTTAGGGAAGAGGTTTCGCAAGCCTTGGGCATGGTTTTGGGGTTTCGGGTCTCGGTTTGAGGCGCATAATTATTATGAATAGTATTCCCTTAGAGGGCCCCTATACAACTATACTTCTAATCCCGCGCAAACAAAACAAAGAAAAAACAAAGAAAACAACTGGTCTCAAGAACGCCCTGGGCCTCCCTTATTAGCTCTTGAACCCTAAACCCTAAAACCTAAACCCCTAAACCCAGCTCTTGAACCATGCTTTCATGGCGTGCACCCGACAGGAGATGCGACGTCGCGTGCGGGGGTATGCTGAGGAGCAGAAGCCCCCTTCCTGCATGGCTTTGGAGTTTAGGGTTCAAGGCCAAGGCCTAAACCCTAAACCCTAAACCCTAAACCCTAAACCCTAAACCCTAAACCCTAAACCCTAAACCCTAAACCCTAAACCCTAAACCCTAAACCCTAAACCCTAAACCCTAAACCCTAAACCCTAGGTTTAGAGGCCTTTATTGAAAAGGCCTCTTTCGGGGCTTAGGGGTTTCTCTTCGCTGGGGGGTTGGAGGCCTGCACAGGGAGCCAAAGGGTTTGTTTAGGGTTTGGGGTTCAGGGTTCAGGGTTGAGGGTTGAGGGTTGAGGGTTGAGGGTTGAGGGTTGAGGGTTGAGGGTCGAGGGTTGAGGGTTGAGGGTTTAGGTTTCGGGTGCTTCAGAGTGCTCAGAAAGCTTTGCTTCTGGTAGGGGCTGAGGGAGCCAAGCCACTTGCTGGTTCCTTAGGAGTTTAGTGCTTTTTGCCCTTATACAACCTTAAACTCTGAGCCCTTCTTCACAGCAGTTTGGGGATTGGGCGGCTGTCTTGGCGGGGGGGGGGGGCTTTCAGGCTATGTCTTCTGTGTGGCTGCCAGGATTTAGAGATGGCTTAGGGATGGCTTTAGGCTTCCCAAGGGCTTAGGGTTTAGGGTTTAGGTTTTTTTTTTAGAAAGGTGAGCCACGGCCGCAGGTACACTCCGCAAATGCGAGAGAGCCTCTGCCGCGAGGCCAAAGTCAGCCCGACGGCCGTCACGCAGCAGCCCCAGCGAGAACCAAGCCCCGTAGGCCTTCAGGGTTTAGGGCTTACGTGAAGGCTCCAATGTAGTTCCTTTCCGGGTTACTTCTAGAGGATCCGAGCATAATTTTCTACCCCAAAAGGGTACAACGCAGGAGCCTGTGGGTAAGCTTTGGGACCCTACCGGCCCCTGCTTCATAAGAAGGACCCTAAAGTTTCGTCGCAAGCAAAAGGGCACAGACCCTGCATCTCTGGCAGCTTCGCGCGTCCGTCATGTGGCGTTGTTGCGCCCTGGTGGGTAGCTGCACGTGCCTGATGATGATGGCGCAGCAGGAAGGCTCTGGCCACACCCGAAAGCGCATCGCGCAGCGCGCCGAGGCCGGCCGTTCAGTTGCAGTCGAGCCGGTAAGAGAAGTATGCTTCAGGTGGGCCGAGTACTCCGACAAAATGGGAACGCCCGGCTGCTCATGCAACACCGCCGGAACTTGTTACGGTGCCCGGCCCCAGCACGCCACTACAGAGGTGTAGCCACTGCGGAAGTACCCTATTTTAACCCTAGAACCTGCGACCCCACTTTGGATGGCGAGTTCCCAAACACAAATGGTTTGGGCTTCAGGGAGTTTTAGGGTTTCAGGGAGGTTTTAGGGTTTTTAGGGAGTTTAGGAGCTTTAAAGGAGTTTTTGGGTGAATTTTTAGGGAGGTTTAGAGAGTTTTTTTGGGAGTTTTAGAGAGAGTTTTTGGGGGATTTTGCGAAGATTTAGGTTTAAAAGTTTTGGTTTAATGTTTTGGGGCTTAGGGTTCCAAATCTGAGGGGTGGCCTTACCCCCCAAAAAACGCGGAGCTGCAACATGGAATTCTAGCCTGTGTGCAGTAAGGGTTTAGGGTTTAGGGTTTAGGGTTTAGGGTTACGTATAATTTCTGTAGCGATACGTACTGAGTACCCTATGTAGGGTACCTAGGGTACCTATAACCCTGCTTACCCGGGTAGGGTCTTGGGATGTTTAGTATATTCTCTTATTGAACCCCAAACCCTCGACCTTGCACCCCCAACCCTAAATCCTCTACCCTAAACCAGAAACACTTGACCCTCCAACCCTCACCCCGAAACTCTAAACCCTAACCACTCAACCCTATTTAGGAAGATTTTTCAGAGGCCCGACATTTTTCGTAAACCCTGAACGGGGTCGTCCTTGGGAATTGGTCTGGATATTGTGTTTCTTTTTTTTGGTTCTCTGAGAGTTTAGGCTTTAGGGTTTAGGGTCGGCTTTTGAGGAAGAGACTACAATAGAGAGCCTTATGTGATATGAGGCTTGGTATCGGCGATGGAGGCAACGAGGCGCATTGGGGCTAGCAAGAGTCTAAATTGGGAGTTCAAGTTTAGCTTCAGGTGGAACCCTAATTCCTAAACCCGAAACCCTAAACCCTAAACCCTAAACCCCAAACCCCAACCCTAAACCTTAAACCCGAGTAGGTTCGCAACGTTTGGAGCAGGGTTCGTCGACACCCTTTTCCATGCTCTGAGCTTCCCTTGTTTAGGGTTTAGGGTTTAGGGTTTAGGGTTTAGGGTTTAGGGTTTAGGGTAAGAAAAGCCCAACCCTCCAGAGTTTTGCTCGAGAAACGCCGGGTGGGATGAGTAGCTGTGGAGCAGCAGCAGTGGTATGCCCAGTATAGCGAGTTCTCACAAGTATGGTCTTTCTCGACTACCTAATATACTAGAAGGCTCCGCATATACGGTAGGAGCCCCAACAAAGGGCCGGACTTTGATTCGGATATCTGCTCATACAACGTCTTCTGCCATGAAATCTGAGTCATCTTTCTGGCTTGTCCTGCTTTCGCCCTAAACCCTAAACCCTAAACCCTAAACCCTAAACCCTAAACCCTAAACCCTAAACCCTAAACCCTAAACCCTAAACCCTAAACCCTAAACCCTAAACCCTAAACCCTAAACCCTAAACCCTAAACCCTACACCCTAAACCCTAAACCCCAAACGTTTTGCTTGTGTTCTATAGCCACCCAGCGGAGGAGTTGGGTATCGTCACTTCGAGAATGTGGTGTTGCATGCTTGTCTACATCTCTAAACCCAGACCCTAAACCCTAAACCCTAAACCCCAAACCCCAAACCCCAAACCCTAAACCCTAAACCCTAAATCCTTGGCCCCTCAAGCGCTGGCTTCCGCGTCCTCTTTTCAGGTCGGCATGGGCGCGGTGGTGGCAATCCCAGGCTGCGAGGGACTGCTCTTCAGATGTCGCGACTTAGGGTAGGGTGTGGGGTTTTGGGTTTAGGGTTTAGGGTTTGGGGTTTGGGGTTAGGGTTTTGGGTTTTTAGGGTATAGGGTATAGGGTATAGGGTTGAGGGTTTAGGCTTCTAGAATTAAGGGTTCAGGGCTTAGGGTTAGGACTCAAGGTTCAGGGCTTAGAGTCTGGGGACTGGTCTGCGTGCTCGTCTCGCTCGTCAACCACCCCACCCAAACTAGACTCCGTTAACTTACCCCCTGTTGGGTTTTAACAGCCGATCTCCTTGTTGTGCTTTGAACCAAGTGAGGGGTGTCCCACAATGAGGGCCCTTATACAAGGGACATAAGTGGTAGGGGGTATCCCTAAACCCTAAACCCCGAACCCTGAACCCTGAACCCTAAACCCTAAACCGGTTCTAGGAAGCACCCAAGACACAAAGCGCTGTTCTTGAACTTCCTTCTTCGGCGGGGCCGGGGACGTTCTTGCTGGAAGGTCCCGGGGAGCGGGGGGGGGGGGAGCGGGGGGGGGGGGGGGGTTCTAAGAATGGTGCCTATACTTACGACCCTACCTCTAGCTACCCCAAACCCTAAGCGCTAAACCCGAAACCCGAAACCCTAAACCCTAAACCCTAAACCCTAAACCCTAAACCCTAAACCCTAAACCCTAAACCCTAAACCCTAAACCCTAAACCCTAAACCCTAAACCTCCCAGCAGGCGTCCCTCAACTTTCTCCGGGAGACGAGTTCGCGGCACTCTCCGCGTGCCTCGGCCTCAAGAGGGGGTGGATTTCTGGCACTTTAGCGCGTTGGGCGCCGGGGCCTTGATAGGGTTTAGGGTTTAGGGTTTAGGGTTTAGGGTTTAGGGTTTAGGGTTTAGGATTTAGGATTTAGGGCTAAGGGTTTGGGTTTGGGGTTTAGGGCTCTCAGGGCTCTCACAGGGCTCTCTCACAGGGCTCTCAGGGCTCTCACAGGGCTCTCACAGGGCTCACAGGGCTCTCACAGGGCTCTCACAGGGCTTATCTTGCTGCCATGAATGTTGGATCTCAGGATGCAGCGCAGGCCTGGTGGTTCTAATCCCTCCTCCTGAGTATCCTAGCTAGGACCCCCAGAGTAGGCCCTGAGTCCATTTTTTTAGGGCTTGGGTTCCCTTCTGAGCCCCTTTTAACCGCAAGGGCACCCTTTTCGTTCCTAGGTGTCGTACACCCCTTGGTCTTCATAGCTGGGTAGTTCGTTAAACTGCGGTGCCTTTCTTGGGGTCCCCCCATGTAAATACGGCACTTTTATCATAGTACTTCAAAAAAGGATGCTAATTCAGAGAACTACCCAACTGCTTGATTCCCAGCCCAACGCTGGACCTGCTTCGGGTGCAATCGCTGAATTCGACTCCCCTGTGCTTACTATCCGGGTTGTCTCTTTTTCTTCTCTTTCAGAGGGTTTTAGTAGTAGGGGATGGTATTATCAACCCGGGGTTTCCGAAACCCTACGGAATCCCTAAGCCAGCAAGGAATGGGTGCTACCGCACCTGCGATCACCTGTTGCTGGGCACTGTGAGCAACTGGGCAGGCTCCCTCGCGTGCTTGCTTCGTACTTGTAGCTTCGGGAAGCTTTAGTGTGGGAGTTGGGGGTCTCACAGAATATCCCAGAAGCCTCAAGTACGGAGTAGCACTGAGCCATATATTGACCCGACGGCGATACAAGAGGCCAGAAATTCCAATACCTCTTAATCAAGGAATATTCCTTACAATATACGAGGTTCCTGAGATGGTTTAGGTTCCTGAGATGGTTTAGGTTTTAAGGAATGTTCCTCAAGGAAAGTGCATTGGAGTTCTGGGTGCCCAGAGACTCCAATGCCCTAGTTGAGGTTTATATATCCCTCAAAATATAGCAAGGTTCCTTATATTGTGCAAGGAATATTCCTTAATTAAGGGTATTTGGAGTCTCTGGGTGAGGCCTGGGCTCTCACGGAGTCTAGAGGGATGTAGGATCAACCCTAAACCCAGAGACTTCAAGGCCCCTTGAGTTAAGGAACATTCCTTAAACCATATAAGGAGCCCGCTTACATTTTTAGGAATGTTCCTTAGTTGAGGGGTATTGGAGTCCCTGGGAATCCTAAACCCAAGCCCTAAACCCTAAACCCTAGACCCTAGACCCTAAACCCTAAACCCGGGCCAGGTTCTGCCTTCGAAGCTGCCGCCAGCGTCCTCTACCCGCTGCCGGCCAAGAAGGACTACATGGTGAACCTCAACGGAGGTGGGGGGAAGGGTAGGGGGGTTTAGGGTTTAGGGTTTAGGGTTTAGGGTTTAGGTTTAGGGTTTAGGGTTTAGGGTTTAGGGTTTAGGGTTTAGGGTTTAGGGTTTAGGGTGTAGGCTTTAGGCTTTAGGCTTTAGGCTTTAGGCTTTAGGCTTTAGGCTTTAGGCTTTAGGCTTTAGGCTTTAGGCTGTAGGCTTTAGGCTTTAGGGTTTGCGGTTTGGGGGTTTTGGGGTTGTTTTGGGGTTTTGGGGTTTTGGGGTTTTGGGGTTTTGGGGTTTTGGGGTTTTGGGGTTTTGGGGTTTTGGGGTTTTTGGGGTTTTGGGGTTTTGGGGTTTTGGGGTTTTGGGGTTTTGGGGTTTTGGGGTTTTGGGGTTTGGGGTTTAGGATTTAGGGACCCTGATGCCGAGACCTTCAAGGTTTAAAGCCCTGCGTTTTGCATGCCGAAGCAACACCCCACGCACCCCCACAGCGCCTGAATCAAACTCGGAAGCCCCATTGCCCGAACCCGAAGCCCTGAAACCCTCAAGCCTAGACCCTAAACTGGGGCCCCCTTAAACCCGAAGCCTTGGAACCTTCTCCCCACATCCGAAGCCCTAGATTTCCGAAACGTGTCCTTACGACGCGCAGTTTTCCACTTAAGTTCAAAAGTAGGACGTGCCTTTAACCCTAAAGCGTAAGCCCCACACCCTCAGGGGCATATGTATGTATTTGCTCCCCACTCCCGTTGCCCTCAAAAGGCGCAGACCCAAGACACGACACCCAAAAGCACAGACAGCGACAACCGCGCACTCTCGGACAGACGAAGCCCGAAAAGCAAAACAAAAGTTCCTCTTGCTAATGTTCTTGGAGCCTTAATTTCGTGCAGCCTAAGCCACACCTTAAACCCCAAAACCTAAAGAGCTAAGATAACTGCCCAAATCTGCTAGGAAGGGCCTCGGGATATTTATATATTTCTCCTCATTGGGTTAAAGAAGATCCTGTTTAGGAGCATTTTTCAGAGGGTTTTAAGGACCAACCTGGGAAGACCTAAACCTGCAACCCTCTTCCGGTAGTTTCCTGGTCCCTTAGTATGGGTACCCCCTACATCCCCCTTATATACCCTGTACAACTTAAGGGCCCTTACATCAGAACCCTTTCAAGGAGGTAAGAAACCATATTCAGAACCCATAAACTAAACCCTAACACCTAACACCTAACACCTAAACCCTAAACCCTAAACCCTAAACCCTAAACCCTAAACCCTAAACCCTAAACCCTAAACCCTAAACCCTTTGAAACCCTAAACCGGCGCTCTTCTAGGCCGCTTGAGGCCTGGCGATCTCGAGGCTTCTGGGGGTTTATGGTTTAGGGTTTAGGGTTTAGGGCTTAGGGTTTGGGGGGGGGGTGGGGGGAGAGTGGGGGGAGACGAGGGGGTTTAGGGTCTAAGGCGGGGTTTGGGGTTTAGGGTCTAAGGGTTTAACGGTTTAGGGTCTAAGTTTAGGGGTCTAAGGGTTTGAGGTTTGGGGTCTAAGGATTTTGGGGTTCAGGTTTTGAGGTTTTAGGGATTAGGGGTCAGCCGCTCTCTCCCTGTCACACCTTGCGACCCTAGGTCCCATATCTTGGTCTAACCGCTCACACCCTTGGAATCTTGCCGCTGCGTCTTGTCCCTTCACATCCAGTTCCCCTATGAAGATAACGCACTAGTATTGAGATGATATGGCACGGAACGCACGCGCGCATGATAGAAATATTATGAGGTTGCTCACTCATGGAGCCGCGTCGACTTCCGGTATGTCGCTCCCTGTGAGAGCCCCACATTCCGCTCGAGGAGATCGACGTACACTTGCCGGAAGAAAACACGCGCGGACTTCGGCGCGTGGAACAAAAGCGGCTTTGACGCATGGGTGCGCTCGCACCTCCAGGCCACTTCCTGCCACGAGAGGGATCCGCACCTCTGGCTACGAGCAGTTGGAATGACTGGCACGGCCATGATGCCGTAGGCTGCAGCTTAATCAAGGTTTGCAAAAATCTTTGTTTAGAAGTCGAGGGATTTTCTCATTCGATTGAAAGTCAACAAGGACGATGCACAGCGTGTCCCAACATCATGAAAATCGGAAAGTGGTAATTTCAAGATAATTCGTTCATGTCATGTTGAGGGGAAAGATTTTTGGGAATCTAGAACAATCAACAGGGATACCGCAAACCGGACTAAATATCACAAGCGTTGAAGCTGCATCTGCGCAGCAATCCGTTGCAAGCAGCCTATGTATGACGTACGGCGTAGGATGATGCTGCATGCTCACTTCTTCTTCTGGAATCCGGGGAGGGGGGGGGGGGGGGGGGGGGGGGGCGAGAAGAACAGGGGCGGTGGTGACCCCTTCCCTATCGGCGGTCTCGTGACTCACCGAGGCTTCCCCGAAGTTTCATCCTTGAAGCCCAAACCCAGAATGAGCCCTGAGCCTGGTTGCCCTACTGGGAGGTTCATGGTGCTTGTTAACCAATTATGGCTGTACGTATCACCCACTTACAAGCCCCTTAAGTGCCCCTAATATGGTTATAAGTACAGGTATGAGTACAGTTATAATTGGGTAATAAGAACCCTAAACCCTAAACCCTAAACCCTAAAAAGTGCCTTGAACCTTCAAGTACTTCAGCCCTGCACTGCCCTCAGCCCGACATCCTAAAACGCCGTGGAGGAGCTTCTGCTTCGGGACATCATGGCCCTCTTCTCAGAGATTCTCATACTCTTGGGTTTAGGGCTTAGGGTTTAGGGTTTAGGGTCTAGGGTTTAGGGTTTAGGGTTTGGGGCTTCGGGGTGGTAGACCCAAGGCCGTCGGCCAGTTTTGATTGTCGGTGCTTGCTGGGGGCAGTCGAACCTCGAAGCGAAACTCTGAACCCCATCTGAGCCCTTAATAACTTAACACTAAAGCCTATGACCCAAACAAGGCCTGCAAAGCCTACAAACCCTGCAAAATCTCTAAGGCCTATGAACTCACAAAACACCCACTAAGGCCAGTAGACCGAATAAACCCACTAAACCCTATCAACCCACTAAACCCCTTCAAAGCCTGAAAAAAACAAAAACTAAATCCCATAAACCTACTAGCACCTGAAGCCTTGAAGCCCTATAAACCCACGAAGGCCTTTGCACCCCAAAAGCCCACTAAGCCCTTTAAACCCACTGAACCCTACAAGCCTTCAATCGGACACAGAGAGCCCAGCAACCCTTGATTAGGCATAGGGTTTAAGGATGTTTAAGGGCTCTAAGGGTTCTGGAATGCATGACTAGGGATATAGCCTTGTCGCTGTTGACACGAGAAAGGTTTACAGAAGCCGGCGGAGTACTGCAGGATGGTTTCGTCCTAGCATGGCCAGAGGAATGACTGCACCGGAATAAGACTGTAACTTGAATTGTTGTGGCGGAGGAACGCTGCTCTTGGAGTGCAGGAGTCTAAGGGGGAGAGGGGGTCTTCTGCTGTCTTGTTGTAGTTTACGTTGCGAGTACGACGAATGTTCGGCCTGCTGCAGTATACCTTGAACCAAACAAGGAGCCTTACTATGAATTCAGGTACACCTAAACCTAATCCCGAAACCCTAAGCCCTAAGCCCTAAACCCTTCCTTGGTGAAAAGGGGTCTTGGGTTCTCTGGGAGGCCTCTCCCACCTTTGCAGTCGACGGCAAGTATAACGACCGGCTGCAGTCCGTGGACGGAATGTCTTTCGACGCTCGGCATAGGGGTGAGGGCTGAGCGTTGAAGGCTGTGGGCTGAGGGCTGAGGGGCTTTCGGGCTTAGGGTTTAGGGTTTATAGCGTGTTAGGGTGGATTTCGGCTTTGAGGGATTCCTTCGGAAATTTAGAAGGACTATCGAGGCTGTATTATTTTGCCGGGTTTGCTCGAGGCTTTGGGGGGTTGACGTTTGCGCGCTTAAGACCCACTTCCTTTTAGCAACCACCCTCCCCCTCACTGTGATTCTCTGGGTGGCGGGGGCAAATTCGGGGATTTAGTGCCGGCATTTGACACAGGTCGAGCGGATAAATTTTGACGATGATTTAGTCGGACTGGGTGGGTTTCTGTACCAGAGCCAATATAGGGGCAGTTCTCTTAATCAGCTCCCGTTTGGGTCCCCCCTAAAGTACGGCACCCTAAGAAAAGGACCCCAAAAGGGACCCTAATTTAGAGAACTACCCGTACCTAGAACCCAGGTAGGCCCGTTGCCCTGTTTTTAGGGTTTAGGTCCCCTTGTCAGCTCCTAAAAATACCCAAAGGTCACTTTTCCTAGGTTACTCTTGGGTCACCCTAAACCCTAAACCCTAAACCCTAAACCCTAAACCCTAAACCCTAAACCCTAAACCCTAAACCCTAAACCCTAAACCCTAAACCCTAAACCCTAAACCCTAAACCCTAAACCCTAAACCCTAAGCCCTAAACCCTAAACCCTAAACCCTAAACCCTAAGCCCTAAGCCCTAAGCCCTAAACCCTAAACCCTAAACCCTAAACCTTGTGCTCTTGGGTCTAGAGACACATGTATTCAGTCTTACGCTTCCAGAAGCCTGAATCTCAGTGTGGTACCTAAACCCTCGCACACCTATGGGTTTAGGCTTTACGGTTTAGGGTTTAGGGTCTCTTGGGGCGTGTATTCCCTAGACCCTACCCCCAAAGTCCATTCTGAAATCCCAGAGAACCCTCAAACCCCCTTATTCCAGGAATATACCGTAAACTAGATAGGTATCCTTAGTATGGTCTAAGGCGTATTCCTTAATCAAGGGGTCTTAAGGTCTCTGTGGGAACCAAGGACCCCTACCACCGGGACTTCCACCTATACCTCTGGGAGCTCGTCTCGCAGACACAGGAGTCGCGGAAGTCACGCCGGCTCGAGTGAACAAAGGCGGCGTTCCACAAGCTCTCCTACCACTGGCAAACCCCAAACCCTAAACCCTAAACCCCAAACCCTAAACCCTAAACCCTAAACCCTGAACCCTAAACCCTAAACCCTAAACCCTAAACCCTAAACCCTAAACCCTAAACCCTAAACCAGGGGTACCCGTGTTCCCTGGATTCGCTTCTTTTGAAGGGCTAGGTTCCAATATCAACCCTCTTCTGCAATTCTTTTTTCCTCTGCAGGAAAGCCCAAGACCCTAAACCCTAAACCCTAAACCCTAAACCCTAAACCCTAAACCCTAAACCCTAAACCCTAAACCCTAAACCCTAAACCCGTTGGAGTTTCGGGGGGTTTCGAGGAATGGAGTTTGGCTTTTGTTGTTGGAGTTTTGGGGTTTCGGGGGTTTGTGTTTTGGGGGGCTTCGGGTTTGAGATTCAGTGTGTAGGGTTTACATGTGGGCAGTGTGCCAGCGGTGTCGGGTTGATCTGTGGGTGAATCTGAAATATGGCCTGTTATGGCTCATGTGGTAGCCTGAATCATACGAAACAAACATGAATAGCGAGCAGGGCGTTGGGGGTTAGGGTGAAGGGGCTTAGGTTTCAAGGTTTAGATGTTCGCTTTAGGGCTTACTTAGGTTGATTGGATGCTACAAGCGCCCCAGACGAGTTCGGAGGCCCTAAATTATAATCCCCCAACCCCCAAACCCCAAGCCCCAAACCTACACCCTGAACCGAAACGTAGTGGTAGGCTTTCTGCGGCGGGCTTCTGCATGGTGAATGTGAAAAGTTCGAGCCTGCAGCTCGTGTCTCGAAACCCTCAAAGCCCAAACCGCTTAATCCTAAACCTCAACTCTAAACCCCACCCCTGAACCCTCAACCCCAAACCCTAACCCCAAAACCTTTAGGGTTTAAAGTTTTAAGGGGCATCTGGGCCTAAGAACCTCTTCCCGAATACGGGCCCCAATTCCTAAACCCTAAACCCTAAACCCTAAACCCTAAACCCTAAACCCTAAACCCTAAACCCTAAACCCTAAACCCTTAAGACCCCCTTGGATCGCGCCTAGGGCTTAGGATTTATGAGGTTTAGGGTTTAATGTAGGGGTCGGCATAATTACTACTGTTGTGCCCTTATGGTCCCTCTGTACTTATACGATAATAACCCCCCAAAACCCTATTCCAATTATTAAGGCCCCGCATATTGGGGTGTTTCGGGATTAGAACGCCAAGCGTGCCATGCGTTCGGCTCTCTTCTGGCCATGCATTCTCGCTCCTGGCAGGGTGCGAGGCTCCCTTCAGCCCCTACACGAGACGGAAGATGGCATCTTCGCCCAAGTGCAGGTGGCAGCCACGCCCTTCAACCCCCTACACCAACCCCCAACCCTTAAAACCTTGAACCGTAGACCCTACCTAGGACACTATACCTACTAGTTAAGGGTAGTTACTACGTAACCTGTAGGTAGACAGCGTCCCAGGTAATTCTTCAACCCTAAGCCCTAAGCCCTAAACCCTAAACCCTAAACCCTAACCCTAAACCCTAAACCCTAAACCCTAAAACCCTAAACCTAAACCCTAAAACCCTAAACCCTAAACCCTAAACCCTAAACCCTAAACCCTGAACCCTGAACCCTGAACCCTAAACCCTGAACCGTAAGCCCCTAAGCCCCAAGAAGAAGGTGGCAGCCATGCCCTTCCACAAGAACTGGGCACACTTGAAGAAACCTCCAGAGCGACTCTGGATTGAGGTTGGGATGAATAACTGGGATCTGTCGATTCACTACGGGGACTTCGAAGCTTGGTAGGACCTAGGGATTTTTTTGAAACATTTTTCCTTCTGAGGATCTTATTCAGGAAAAGTTGCCCTAAACCCTAAACACTGAACCCTGAACCCTGAGCCCTAAACCCCTAAACCCCAAAACCCTACAAGTTTTGGAGGGCCAGAGCCCTAGGGCGAAGGCGACTTCGTCCTGGGCTTCGAGCCCCTCCTCGACAAGTACGGCGAGACTTAGGGCTACTTGGGAATGGTTTTTAATTTTTGGGTACTCGAATTCCTAAGACCCTAAACCCTCAACCCAAAACCCTCTAGACCCTAAACCCAAACCCTAAGTTCAGTAGAGGAGAGCCTAGCGGGCTACCGGCCGACAACGCTGGCGGGCACGGGGAAGATGAGGGCGCTGGGACGGCAGCATGAGAGACTAGGCAGGCCCCTTGGAAAAGTTTTCTATGTCTATCAAATACTTAAATATCGTACAAAACTGATATGAGCATATGTATATAAGTAAATACATAAAATAAATAAGATATATATATATATATATGTATATATATATATATCTATCTGTATCCATGTTTAACTTTAAGCGTTTTTTTTTCAGATGGTTGCAAGGGCCAGCCTAGGAGGGGCATGGTCTTTCCCTTCGCCGTGGGCTGCGAGGGCATGGCCGAGTTTCGCGTTACCGAGGAGGACGCGTGCAGCACCTAGTGGTAGCCCAGTGGTACCCTTTACCTTTTTTTTTTTGGGCTCTGGGCTTCTTTTAAAAAGGGTTTAGGGTTTAGGGTTTGGGGTTCAGGGTTTAGGGTGTAGTGTCTGCGGTTTACGGTTTAGGGTTTAGGGTTTAGGGCAACCAACCAGAAAAGGGTGCCCTTATTGTAAGATGGTTACTGGGCTACCAAGGTACACTGCTGGACCTGGCCCAGTCCACCCTTCCCGAGGACTACCAGCATCCCTTGCTCCCGAACTTTAAGGCGGACTGCGCCACGGCGAAGGAGACGCGGAAAGTTCCCTGCATCTCGCTGGAGCACGTCCTCCGCCACTGGCTGGAAGGGCGGGAAGTCTGGTTTCTGAAGGTGGATGCAGAGGGGTCCGACCTGAAAGTGGTCCAGCCGCTTGGTAGCCCGAAGAGACCTTAGAATCCCCTTAGTCCAGGAAATATACGCTTAAATCATACTGAGGGTCCCCTATACAGCTTAAGGCATATTCCTTAATTTAAGGGGTTTTGGGCTCTCTGGGTAGCCCAGGGGTGCTCTTTGGCCCCCTTCTTTCTTTTTTTTGGTGTTTGTAGCTTTCCACTAAAGTAGCCGACCCCCCGAAAGGGTATCCCTTCTTGTAATCGGGTTGCTGGGCTACCAAGAATCTAAACCCCAAAACTGAAGCCCTCAAACCGAAACCCGAGTGGGAACCCAAGGTCGGCAGGAGACATGCTGCCCCTAAACCCTAAACCCTAAGCCGTAAACCCTAAACACTAAACCCTAAACCCTAAACCCTAAACCCTGAACCCAAGGTCGGCCGGAGACATGCTGCGAAAGATCCGGCATGTCCAGGTGGAGGTGCAGGCAGCCTGCGCAAGCTCGGCTCCCCAGTTCGTCAACGCCCCAAACTGCACAGCCATGGTGCGCTTCATGCACCCCCGGCCTGGAATTGAGGTTTCGGAGACTCCAATGTAGGGGTTCAGGGTTTAGGGTTTAGGGTTCAGGGTTCAGGGTTTAGGGTTGGGAGTATTCTGTAAACCATATAAGGAACCCTCTTGTATGTTAAGGAAGATTTCCTGATAAAGGGGTATTGGGGGTCCCGGGGCAGCCCGGCTTCGGCTTGCTAATTAAGCTTTCCATGGCCCCAAGCTGCCTCTTCGCAAAGCCGAGAGCGCGGTGCACCAGAAACAGCTTAAAAACCCTAAGCAAATTCAGCCCGAAGACCCTGCTTAGGGATTGGGTAGGTAACCTTTAACCTTATTCGAATCCCTAAGCCCGAACAGGTACAAAGCTGGCTACCGCTGCTCAACGCAGCTCAGCTTGAGATCATTTGTTGAGGGGGCTTACTCTAAACCCTAAACCCTAAACCCTAAACACTAAAGGGGTTCACGGCCCTGATATCTACATGGGTACTGGTACTTATAAGTAGGGTTTATGAGTGCCCTACATGAGCTTCTGAGTACACTTACCATGCTTATAACCCTAACGAAAACCACCCATGAACCTCCAAGTCTAGCACCCGTTTCCGATTTATTGGTTTCGGATGCTGTGTATTCCCTCTGAGGCAAGACAAGGGTTTAGGGTATCTTGGGGCCTGTAGGCCTCTAGCCCTGCACAGCGCTTATTGGGCCCCCAAATCCGGAAATCTCCCGAAATAAGGGCACCCATTTCTTTCCACGAATTTAATAGCCCTAAACCCTAAACCCTAAACCCTAAACCCTAAACCCTAAACCCTAAACCCTAAACCCTAAACCCTAAACCCTAAACCCTAAACCCTAAACCCTCCTTGGGGCCACAATTTTCAGAGGCTCCCGACATCCAGCCCAGGCAGTTTCTGGGCAGTGTGGTCTCTTGTGGTCGGGGCTTCACCCACTCCATCTGCCGCATGTGCGACAAGCCCACGCTCAACCTGTTCTTCACTCGTGAGCCCAATACACCTTAGGGATTCGGGATTATAGTTGCTTGGGGTTTGAGTCTGGAGCATTTGGGAATAAACCTGAACCTTAAATGCCAGAATCCCGCCCAATCCAGGCGTCACTCAATCAAGGCTTCAGTTTCGTGTGTGCTTCCGGCGCCAAAGCCGGGAGGCAGGAGAGCCCCCTAAACCCTAAACCCGAAACGCTAAACCCTTAACCCTAAACCCTAAACCCGAAACGCTAAACCCTTAACCCTAAACGCCAAACCCTAAACCCTAAACCCAAAACCCTGAACCCAAAACCCTTTGAAGCTCCAAGCCTTGAGCCCTTAGGGTTTAGGGTTTAGGGTTTAGGGTTTAGGGTTTAGGGTTTAGGGTTTAGGAACCTTAAACAATAAACCCTAAACCCTAAACCCTAAACCCTAAACCCTAAACCCTAAACCCTAAACCCTAAACCCTAAACCCTAAGCCCTAAACCCTAAACCCTAAACCCTAAGACCTAAGCCCTAAGCCCTAAACCCTAAACTTTAGGAGTTTGCCTGCCCTGTTATGGGCCAGGTCTCGCTTAGCGAAAACATGGATGAAAAGCGGACGTCGATCCCTAGACTCTGAAGTCACCCCTAAATTACACCCTGAGCCCTAAACTTTTGAACCCTAAACCCTAAACCCTAACCCTAAACCCTAAACCCTAAACCCTAAACCGTTGAACCTTAAACCTTGGGATGTTCCCCCTTATACTCACAGTTTTTCATCGGGATTCTAATATGGGGTACTATACTCCCGACTAAGGACTGTGAGTACGGGGCAGCATCCCGACCTAAACCCCTACGCCTCAAAGTGAAGGAGTTTGACAAACGTGTATGCACAAAGGCCATGTCTCAGTGGAACTGGGCCCCCGGCATGTCTGGGGTTTAGGGTTCGGGGTTTGGGGTTTAGGGTTTCGGGTTTAGGGTTTAGGGTTTAGGGCTACCCTCCCCTCAATTCATTAGACGACTAGTCTGAGGGCCCGACTTGTACAAGTAGGAGACTCTAACCTGTGGCCTTTGCTTCGTGCATCTAACCATTATTTGCATTCCTCCGCATTATACCTCGAATTTGAAGGGCAGACTTGTGTAAATAGTCGAAATAGATGAGCATTTTTATTATCTTGTTGTGTACCGAAACCAAAAGACCAACCAACCAAAAACAGCAAAGAAAGCAAACAAAAAACAACAAGCAAGTCGGACACTAAACTAGTCCTCCGGGTCCCGGACACCACTAGTGCCCGGATTTTTGGTTTTGGTTTCTTGTTTATATATATATATATAGTTGTTTTTCTTTTAGATTTTTAGCTTCTTTATTTTCTTAAAGTTTTTCTGGGGCTCAAACCCAAAACAAGAATCCTGGCAGTGCAGGTGTCCGGGACCCGGAGGACTAGTTTTGTTGGCTTTGAGTTTTATGGGTGCTTCAGGGTTCATGGGGGTGTACCTAGGAAACCCTAGAAAATTCTAGGGAGTAGTCGGAGTAGTGGGGAGTATTAGGGAACCTTTTAGTTACATAGCCCCCTTGAACCCCCGCCCTAAGCCCTAAACCTTGAACCCTGAACCCTAAACCCCCCCTCTCTTAACCCTGTAGTCGAGAACGAAGGCCACCAGGGTCTCTAGCAGCTCAGCATGTAAATCTAAACTTTCAATATTATGTGTATACACACGTGCATGTATACGTATTTGTTATCTATCCATACATGGTTGAAGCTCAAAAAACCTCAAACCCCTGAGTTCCGAGAGTAAACTCGACCGGGGAGCGGCGGCAGATTCGGGATCTCATGCCTCAACCCTAAACCCTAAACCCTAAACCCTAAACCCTAAACCCTAAACCCTCAACCCTAAACCCTAAACCCTAAACCCTAAACCCTAAACCCTAAACCCCAAACCCTAAACCCTAAACCCTAAACCCTAAACCCTAAACCCCAAACCCTAAACCCTAGACCCTAAACCCTAAAGCCTAAACCCCTGATGCCTCAGCCATGGGACCCGAAACCCCGCCCACACGGTTATAGGTTGGGATGTTCCCCCCTTTCTCTAGCAGTCCTTAATTCTTGGAGGTTCATGGTACTTACTAACCAATTATAACTGTACTTATAACCCTACTTATAATGCCCCTAAAAGGCCTTAAAGGGGTTATCCCAATTATAAGTAGGGTTATAAGCCCAGTTATAAGTGGTTAGTAAGTACCATGAACCTAATAGGGAATATAGTACCCCGTATTATAATCCCGATGAGGGACTGTTACTGTTAGTATAAGGGGGAACATGCCAAGGTTTAGGCCTCCACCTGGAGGTCCATCTGGGTAGCTATACGTAGGGTTCGAAGTACCCGAAGTAGGGCTATAAGTAGAGTTTTCATACTCATCTGCTTACTTATAACTACCCAAAATGAATTTCCAAGTAGCCCTGCACATCCCCGAGGCGCCTCAGATTTTCGCTTTCATGCGGAATGAGCTCCAAACGGGAGATGTGTCCAGCAACGGTCAACAGAACAACAGCAGCAGAGTGCAGCAACACCCCCACACACACAGACATACAGACATACCAACTCAATGTCCCTCCGTGCGGGCACGTACAAGTACAGCGAGGATCACTGTGGCAGCGGAGATGGGGCTGAGACCTGGACCTTCAACAAGGACGGCACGGTCACCCACCGGAACGAGAGCTCCTCCGCAGATCCCGCCTTCCGCGAGGTGGGCTCGCACTTCTGGGAAGGAGCGGGGACCTGGACGCAGAACGGCACGAACGTCTCGGTCAGCGTTCACAAGACCCGGTCTGAGAACAACTACAAGACGCCCAACTTCATGAACAGCGACGCGGCAACGATCTCGCGCGAGTTCCAAGTGGACAAAAACGGCCTCATCGTCGAGATGCAGGACGACCCCGACGACTGCTCCGAAGATGACTGCTCCTGGACCTTCACTGAGGAGTAGACGTGGTGCCCTTTACCCTTGCTTTCCTTCCTTTACAATAGCCCAAAAAGTGTACCCTTATTATTATGATATGGTTACTGGGCTACCAAGCAGAATAATGGCGTTCATCATACTTTGACCGAGCATAGTGATCATCATAGAACTCTCGTAATGATAGCACTAGCAAAGACCCCAGCTGCTTGTTGCTTAACGGCTTCGAGTGACAACTTGGACGTGAAGGAGCTCGGTGTGTATCCCCGGTGACGGAGACACAAATGGGTAGCTATAAGTAGGGTTAGAGCTTACTATGTCCCTCGGCCCTCCAAGCAAGCCTCAACCCCTAAACCCCGGAACCCGAATTAAACCCTAAACCCCTAAACCCCAAACTCCAAACACCAAAACCCCAAACCGGCCCCAAACCCCAAACCCCCAACCCCCAACCCCCAAACCCCCAAACCCTAAACCCTAAACCCTAAACCCCAAACCCTAACCCCAAACCCCAAACCCCAAACCCCAACCCCCAAACCCCAAACCCCAAACCCCCAACCCCCAACCCCCAACCCCCAACCCCAAACCCCAAACAACCCCAAACCCCAAACCCCAAACCCCAACCTCGACCTGGAAACTTGCCGTTGATTGCCCCAGTGAACCCTGCAGTCGCCTTGACCTTCAACTTAAACAGTTTAGGGTTTAGGGTTTAGGGTTTAGGGTTTAAGACCCTAAACCCGAAACCCAGCCCAGTGGTACCCTTTGCCCCTTTTTTGGGTTCTTGGTTCCGTTATAAAGTAACCAACCCAACAAAGAACATTCCTTCTGGCATTTTGGGTGGGGTGTCTGTGTTGTAGACTCTCCAGCACCCGTTCGCCCTTTGCGGGTTCTGAGTTCCTTCGTGACTGTAACCAATCACCCAAAATGAGCACCCTTATCATTGAATAACATACTTTCTGCGCTACCAAGGTTGACAGAGCTGATCATACAGGGTTGCAGGGTTGAGGATTTAAGGTGCAGGGGTTTCCTTCAGTTCTTCGAGCGTTCACGAGTTGATCCCAAACCTGTATAACCCTAAACTCTCAACCCTAAACCCTAAACCCTAAACGCTAAACGCTAAACGCTAAACCCTAAA